TTATTATTATTATTATTATTATTATTTTCAAGAATGGGTTGGCTTTTTCACAAGACAAATTGGACACAACATCATCATTCTACACTTTATTTAAGAGTAGTTGCCTATAATCGAGAAACATTCAACTCGAAAAAGCAATCCTCGAATAAGCGCTTAAGGACGTTCGCGCGAAAATTCTCCATTCGATAGAATTTTTTTTAATTTCTACTCAGTGCGGTCAGATAATGAGCTACTTGCGTCAGAAATGCGAAAAAAAAAATTGGGGGTCACCGACTTCGTTTCAAAGATAAAGCGTGTGGAAAAGTACCCTGATTTTAAAAAATTGGCGCACGTAATTCAGCATGGTCTACAGGGGTTTATAGTTAAAAATATCGAAGGCGAGTCAACGGAGGCAAACGATCTTAGTCACATTTTGTAGAAGTGGATCTGTTGCGTAAATAATTCCAAATGTTACTAACGTTTTTACAAAACTTAACCCTTTAAGAGGCATTTAAAACCGTCGCACAGATAAACGAAGAGCTAAAAAGAACGGAATTCGATGGTGCATTTTGCAAAATATTCAAACTTCTAGTCGATAGATTTTCTTAATTTTTTGCCAAGGGTAGACAATCGGTAGAGAAAATGAGCCATCAAAAGAAAAATAGGGGTCACCGAGCGTCCGAGATCGTTAAGTCCAGTGTCCCGCCCCGATCGCTTCGCCCATTCTTCTGTTTCGCGCTCGCCGAATGTTTTTTTTTTTCGTCCTCGCCTGGAGCCTGTTCGCAGGCTACGCTCAATCCTGAAAAATGGCGTGGCGTTAATTCGGAACATTTGAAAACGAGCTATTTGTTTGAAATAAACATAGCTGCATCTGAGTGTTAAAACTGTACAAGTTTCGCTAGATTCCGAGCACAGTTTTATTTGTTAAGTAATACATATGATGATTCAAAGCGTACAGTCCGTGACGGGACGTACTCGACAAATGGTGTTAAAAAATATTTTTATTTATTCCCAAGCTTTCACTTTGCGCCAGAAGCATGATCAATTCTAACGTGTGACTATGAATAAGAGAAAAGCAGTCGAAAAGTTATTTATACATCTGGGTGAACATGTACACGCATCGAAGATGAGATGCCTTTTTAACTTACCGACAACTGTTGGTTCTAAGTCAACGAACACGGCACGAGGAACGTGTTTTCCTGCTCCAGTCTCGCTGAAAAACGTGTTAAAAGAATCATCTCCTCCGCCGATAGTCTTGTCGCTCGGCATTTGGCCATCAGGCTGAATTCCATGCTCCAGGCAGTACAACTCCCAACAAGCGTTGCCGATCTGAACTCCGGCTTGGCCAACGTGTACAGAAATACATTCACGCTAAAAGTTAAAATGGAAGGTAGCATTTGCGATAATTCGCTACTTGTAACTATTCTAGAGCCCTCATGCGAAGGCAAGATAAAGCAATTCTCTATGCGGAATAAGACAAGACGACATTTCTGTTTTCACTTACCATGTTTACGGTTAAATTGCAGTGATTAACTTCCCTCGAAAAGGCGACGCTTGCAATTCAAGGCAAGAAGTTTTCTGGTCCTAATGTTGATTCAGGTTACCCTTATACCAACCGTATTTGCATAGCAAACACGTGTTGGTATGATACCATCACGTATATCACGAGTTTTGACCAATCAGAGAGTTCCAATAAAAAAATTAACAATTATTCCCCCGAGTCCCGCCGAGCACGGCTTATTCAACTCTTTTCTGTCCCTTTGTGTTTTAGAAACCGTTCTGAAAAGGTGCCAAAATGATTGAACCCTCCTCGGATTAGCTTTTACAGCGAAATTAATTGATATTTCTATAGAAAACATTGATTGGAGAGACGAACTTCCTATTTTCACTTAAATTAACTTTAAGTTGATAGACATCAGTTTTTCTAGTCTTTCGACCTTTTCCGGAGCGCTTGTCTTGTTTTGACCAGGATGGCCACACCGGATGGCGGTGATAGTGATTTACCGTACGGTGCGCCATATATTACGGAAATGATGCGCGAGCAGGAATTCCTTCATTCGGAAAGAAAAGAACTGAGCCTAGATTTCAAGGAAAGTGATGACGCTGAAAGCTTTGAAAGAAACTGTCAAGTGTATTTACGGGCTATCTCTTAAATATGGGAATGAACAATCTTTTTCTTTCACTGATACGTGGACAAAAAAAAAAAAAACCGTAAATTAACCGTTTACGGAAAGAAACGTTATAATCATTTGTGTTTACTTATCTGCTACCCATTGAATTCTTTTGTGATCTTTTATACGATATCTATTTTTAAAACGTTTCTGTGTTAACAATTAAATTAATTACTAATTTAACAAATTAATAAGTAACGCAGAAACGTCTTCGAATAGTTGGCGGGATCGGGATTTCCAGGCAAAAAAGGGCGGGATGGCGGGATTAACAGGAAAAAATGGACGGGAAAGCGGGATCTGAGAACCCTATTGTGGATCCTCAAAAGAGACCCCGGGGAAAAGGATCAATGACCCTTTCTCCTAGTTTGTATTTCTTTTAAAACCAACGAATACTTGACCGCAGACTGAAGTGTAACAGATGAAACTGATCTTTACCAGCCACAATTGTAGAAGCATCAAGCTGAGTGATATTTTGATACCTGAAAGCGTTTGGAACCTTGCACGAAACTTGATCCGTTCCGCGCTTCTTTTGGTCTCCGTTTCTGTCTGGTTTCTATTAGGTTAGATTTCCGCCCATTTCCCAAAACAGCGGCTTGTAGTCTAGCCTAGGTTTCTATTTTATTGATATATTTTCATTGTCTTACGTATTTATACGCTACAATAAGCATTTTTTAAGCGTGAAAATGTTGCACCCAAGAAAAAAGGGTGCTATATTACACCCCTACCCCCTTAACGTCCAGCTCTCTACAAATGTTCCTTCTGTTTCTTTTTCCTCTTGGAATTTCTTACCGTATTTTCAGTCCGAAGCAGCTCTAAAACCCATACTTTAATAGGTGACATGTTGTCGAATTTATAACCATTGTCGACTGTGAAATCAATTTTAACTTTCGGCAAAGATTACAAAATAAACACAAAGGTCCATTAAGTCTAAGAAGTTACAATACTAATAAAACAATCATTTGAAAGGTAAGCAGGCAGGTGTTAAGCCTCCAAGGCAGAAGCTCTTTGGACCCGAAGAGCGACTGCGAAGAAGGCTAGCAAGTGTTAAGAAAGCCATTAAGATGTCGCGTTACACATATAGACAGTTTCCTTCCTGGTGTCGAAATGAAGAATTTTGGTAAAGCCGTGCCGTACGTAATCTTGATTCTGCGCGGAAATGACCATCCCTAAACTGCATCCTCTGCTGTAATCCATCTTCCTCTTTGTAAGGTATGTGACGTACATTATATCTTTTGAAAATGGACCGCGGGGGGAGGGTCGAGTTGAGCAAATACCAAAAAGCGAAATCCTGTGCTGCAAAAAGGCAGAGAAAAACAGTCGTGCGCAAGCGAGCCACGCTAAAAAAATGGTCGGAACACATCAATAAAAACACTTACACAACCTGATATTAGACTAAAAGATTTTTAATAAGAAACTTTGCCTAAATGCTCACTTTCCATCCCTGTAAAAACCTTAATTTTAGACCAGCTTGCGTGATGTGCAGAATCACGTGTCACAGCATTTAGATACTCTGGTGCAGTGAAAAATGAAATTGGTTCGTATTTCTTAAAAAAAAGATGTCTTATATCAGGAGAACTTTCTTTTACTGAAAATTTATCATTCTTTTATAATTTCCTTACCTTGATCCATCTTTATAGCAAGCTAATGCCTTGTGGTCCCCTTCGTAGGTCTTTGTAACATGTTACTTGATCTGCAATCCCGGAAACAGATCATTTGCCGGGTCTGTCAACGAAGTATGTGCTTTTGAAATTAGCTGTTATCCCAGTAATGAGAGACGATTAGCCTGACGACTCAAGATGACCGACAAATATTTATCCCTGTGTTATAAACAAAACCATTAGCGTACCACGGTCGGCAGAACATGTACTGAAGTATACCATATACAATGGACTCCTTCAAAACCTTATTTGTTCTGTGTTTCTTCTCAATCGTTGTCACTGCCTTCAGCGAGGAACACCGCTCGTCGAAACTCTCAAGTGCTTCGAGCCTCGTTCGTCAAGGAGAGTTCCCTTGGCATGTGTTCATAAGTTCTGTAAAATGTAGCGGAGTTTTTATACACGAGCGATGGATTCTATCATCAGCGAGGTGTGTGCAGCTTTTAAAAGATATGGAGAATGACCAAAGGACTGTGTTCATTAGAGTCGGAAATCATCAGGTAGACCTGGATTTACCCGGAGAAGATGAAGTGCCAGTGTTGAAAGCGCTCGTTTATCCTGAATACGCTGCTACATCGAGCGCTAACTTCGGCTTGCTGTATCTTGCGCGCAGCGTTATTCTGCCAAATGCTCAGCGCATAACCCGTGTAAACGTCCCGAGTTTACAACTTTTAAGCAGCCCGATGATTCTTCAAAATCGTTCTGCAAAGATTACAGGCTGGGGTCATTTCTCGGGGCGTAAGTCGCCATTTACAACTCTTGCCGAAAACGATGTTTTGCTAATACCCGGCCGCGACTGTCTTCAGAGTTTTCCAGATGTTGGAAAACGTGAGCTGTTGGAAGAATCTTGGTGTGTTGTGGCCGCAACCGCAGGAATGTGCTCCATTGATCAAGGAAGCCCAGTTGTTATTGAACGGAACCATTCTTGGGTTGTAGTCGGTGTTTATAGTTACGGAGAAACTTGTTCCTCTGATAAACATACCGTTTTGTTTTCACGTATTACGTCTGGTGTGCTGGAATGGATACGAAAGCTGTTCACAGTCGGAGGTGAGACAAGAAACATGCTTATTATTTTCTTACATATCACCGGGTCATTTCCCAGGTTTCCTGAGAATCGGTCAAAATCTCGGTATATTTACATAATTGTATCCGGAGTATAGTTTGTTTTGGCGCAGCAGCGCGTAAAAAAGCCTTTTTCGCGCCGCGCCCCAATTTTAAAACTAATTAAGCTTCTAAACTGCGTCCTTGCTACTGTTAGATCTGTGAGAAATTGGATCAGCTCCAGTTATACAACGCGCGCCTTGATTGGATGAAATTCTTCCCGGCATACTCTCTCTCGTGCCCGCATAGGCTTCTTGAATATTCACTTACAATTCTAAACTGATTTGCTCTGCGCGCGTCATATTTTATTCATTTCGATCGCTCCCTGTTATCATTTTGGTCGAAACTTTGCAGAGAGAGAGAGAGAGAGAGAGAGCTGGCTTGCAACAAGCTGTGTAAACACACATTCGCGTGTTTTCTTACTAAATATGAAAATTATCAACAGACCCAAGTGGACCCTTTGTTAGCCCTTTCTTTGTTCACTGCGCACACATGGAAGCGTAAGAGGTAGAAAAGTGAAAGAGCGTTACCTACAGACTGTCTAAGTGAGTTTAGGCAAGAAGCTTGTTGTGCCGTGTTCATGAAACACAGACTAAAAACGAAACTTCCCCTAAAGAGATTGAAGGAAACGAGAAAAAGTTTGTAAAGTTCTTTTGAAGTCAGTAGTAGGTGCGGCAATGTTTCTTGTTTCTGCGAGACTATTTATAAAAGTCTTATCTTATATCTCTGATTAATTCGTGCTCGTATCAAAGCAAGAAACGTGAATTTATCGTGCAAATGTAAATAGCAAATGTAAACAGGTCAAAGATGCGGTCTCATTTCCTATGTGCCGCACACAATGAATCGCTTCTATTACTATTTAACACTCAACACTCCATTTTATCTATTAACACTTCTGTCACTGATATGCGAGTGTTACTCGCCCTCCATTGATAAAATCCCAACTTTACCCTTTATTCAGCGAGCGATAGAGTAATCTAAAAAACATCAACTAATACGACGCACGGGAGCATCAAGGTTAGAGTAAATATAGATTTTCCGTGTCTCGTTCCAGTTTACACTTTCTTTCTTTCTTTCTAAGACTCAAGTTTACACCAGTCATTTTAGGAGAAAACGAACACTGTCTTACAGCTGTCAAACGTATCTACTTCCTGTAAATCATAATGGGAGGAATTTAACTTATGATGTTTACTAAGGTTCCTTTTCCTTATAACCGTTAGGAATGTGCCTTCCGTCTCAGTACATGGGTTCCCAGTGGGGAAGGACGGAAGTGTTCGTCGGAAATTTTAAAGACCCCCTTTATTGTGGGCGTGGCTTGAAATATTTTTTACCCCTAAGAGGTACCGATTCTAACACAACGCACTATCTCCTGTCATATTGTTTCGACTCAACACCCTAAAAGTACCGCAAAAGCTGCCACTGTCGACCTTTTTAGGTTAAACACCCTAAGAGGTACTAAAAACCACTTTTCCAACCCTAAAAGGTACGACGTGCACACCCATCCTATTTATATTTGAGTCCCTCCCAACTCCCCCCTCCCCCCGCGGGATAGGTTCAACCTGATTTTCTCACTTGCTCCTCCTTTTGAAGGACGCATGCTTGCATCTTCACCCCCGTGCAAAGCACCAAGGTGATCTGAAGTTTGAAATAGTCACGTTATATTTATCCCTTCCATCATTCATCAGTTCATCCAACCATCCTTTCATTTAATGTTTATTTCTTTTATATTTAGACAGACCACAATGCCGACCGTCAGGTCACCGGGTCCTAGATACTCCTGCGCGTGCACTGTCTAATCAAGTGGACTTTGACCTTCCCTTATGCGACAACAATTTAGAGGAGGCCTGGTACAAGCTAGAAATCCATGGGATTCCCGCCGAAATTCCTACAAAATGTCCTCCGATTGGCTCGTGTGGAACGCATGCTCAGATTTGGATGCAACCCGATGGACATCCCGAGTTTGGAGAGGAGAAGAACGGTAGTGCATGCGTGGCATGGGAAGGAGTGGAGAGAGTTTGTTGTTTGTGGCAGTTGCCTGTTCACGTGACTCATTGTGGTGGCTTTTTGGTTTATCACTTGAAGAAGACAGGAGAATGTTCTACCGCTTACTGCGCTAAAGAAGGTAACAATTGACTGTTCTCCTTTATCGGTTATCCAATCAATCAATCAATTATCCAATGAATTAACCAATCAATCAAATTTGTTGTTCAAATTGTATTGTAGTGAGATTTTGCTCGTCGTCAATTTTGAAAAGAACCCCTAAGAGGTACCAAGGGGTGCTTACCATTTACAAAAAGCATCCGGTTGGAAATTTCAGGCATAAACATTAAACAATTAAATTCGACGTTGCGAGAGAGGGAATCACTATAAAGTATATCCACATCCGTTAGAGAGACTTAAAAGAGCAGAAAAATAGCATCAACTCAAATCACAGCCCATATTTTCTGAAGCTTCCCAAACGGTATGGGGCGAACCATTTGATTTTCCAACTGGAATTTCCGGTTTTCCCATGTAAATGGTAAGTACCCAAGATGTTATTTTGTTGGCGCGGAGCATTCCCGTCCTTTATATATGGGAGTCCCCCCCCCCCGGGAAAAGTATTCCAGGAAGCAATATTACAAAAGGAGCCTAAATATGTTATAGGTGTTGCGTCACGGTTTACTCATCTTGAAAAGTTTATCCTAAATTATTCAAGTTTACATCATTTGTGATCCGTGTCAATCTTCTCCGTCCGTGTTCCTTCATGGTTTATTATTATCGCTTTGGAGTTTTTCTAATCTTTTTTTTTTTAATTTAAATGCTGTTACTAACTTACAAACATCACTTACAATACATGAAAAAACCTACTTACAATACTAATCTTAATCTTCTAATCTAAGTAAACTACCATTTCCACTAAAGGTAATTTTGTACACGGCCAAAATAACTGAAAATACCGTGACTGATACTCCTTAAAGAATCCGGTGACTTACAGTGAGCTAACCCTTAAACTGCTAAACTGACAGATTTTTATTATTTACTTACGTTTGTTAGCTGGCAGGATTCCCTGTGGACCTGGCAAGATAGGATATGCGCCAAAGTGTAAAGGTATGAACAATGGTAATTCAATAAACACCATACTTGACGGTACAAAGTAAAGCTTTTTCTGTGATTTTGTGATTTGGTAAGTGTATCACTTACACCTAAATAGCAATTTTAGTCAGTTGTTTATTTGGCCAAAGTTTGGCGGCCCTGTTCTCTTCGGTTACAACCCCACAACAGAAGAGAATCCATGATCCCACCTCTTATTTTAAGTTCTGATTCTCTCCCACAGCTCGTGACCTCTATCCCACCCTGGCTGATCCTCCACAGATCACACCAGTTGTCCCCCCGGATAACATCCTAGCAAGTAAATCCATACATCTACTCTGTTCTTACGACATTACCGACCCAGGACCCTCTAAAGTCGGTTACAAAGTCACGTGGTATAAGATCCTGCGTTTCTTGGGAGGGACGCCTGGAAAACTAATTTTGTTGACCAACACGACTGACGAGAGAGCGGTAGTTGTTAACTTTGAGTCAGCGGAGTTTAACCTCGGTGATACAGTAAGTACAGAACTTTATAATTAGCCATTACTTGGGTAAGGAGGGTTTAGCACATTCTCATTCAGATTTTTACTTAGTAAACCGGTTTCCCACTGTCTGTATTTCTGTTCGTCCGCAGATTGTTTGTGAAGTGAAGACGTTTTTCTCAGAGAGTCCTGATCTAATAAGTCCTGGTTTTTCAAGCGAAGATTTTTACGTTGGCATTAAGGTGAGTTGCAGTCAGTTTGATAAGTGGTTTGTTGCGATACAGCAAAAACCTGCCTATAAGAACCTAGGTTTTTTTCTAAGTTATGATGGGGGGACGGACGGACGGACGGATGGATAATCTTTATTTATCCACGGTACAAAATTCGTCAGCTTTAAAAATACCTAATACTATTATAATGAGAAATATTTGAATAAAAAGCTGCTTTCCACGAATGCCGTGCCTTACAGTTATTCTTTGAGTAGTCGTTTGAATTGCCCAAGGGACTCTCCTTCCCTTAAGTTACAAGGAAGACTGTTCCAGAAAATGGCGCCACTATAGCTAAAGCTATTTTTGTAATAGTCTGTGCGCGGTAATGGAACATTGAGTTTATTCTCAGAGTCCCCCAGGTCATACGCGATTTCTCGCCTTTCAAATTTAGAACTGAGATAGTTTGGAGCCAACCCGTGCAGAGACCTGTAAACCATGGTAGCTCTTTGAATTTGCTGCTAGATTTTTCCAGCCCTAGAAGTTTGAACATGTGACCAGCGTCTATGGCATAGTTTGAGTGGGCCAAAACACGGGCTGCTCTATTTTGTAGCTTACGGCATATATGGTAACGCGCACCAATGGTTTAAGTCATATTTAGAGAATCGTTTTCAAATGTGCTCCATCAACGGGTCGCTCTCTAAAAGCTGTTCATTAAGTTGTAGTGTTCCCCAGGGGACCATTTTAGGACCACTACTATTTCTGTTATACATCAACGATCTTCCAAATTGTCTATCAAATCGTTTGCCTATTGCTCGTTTTACTAGAAAGAATAACGTTGATGAAACGGTTGATCCATGTAGAATGTAATGTGATGTTTCTTTGCCTAGGAATGATCATAGTCTTTTGTCTTGGCTTTTTGCAAATGTTCCTATCCTGTATGAACTGTTTTTAAGTGTGAGTTACATAACTTCGTACTAACCACATAATTAATTCCCTTTTCAAAGGTGGAGCCTTCGTCCCTTGTCATTTCAGAGGATCATAAAATGAAGGAAATTACCTTTAGTCTTACTGTGCCCCTGGTGTGCCCACCGGACCACCCCAACTGCACAATACAGATACCAATGCACTTAGTTCCTGCTGGTATGAAATACTGTATTTTATTTCTGATTTCATGACGATATTAAAGTACAAATTAGACAAACAATGTAAAATTACTCCTTGAATAATACTATGGGCGATCTTCCACTCAGTTCACAGTCCCAGGATGTTATCAGCTGCAGACATAGCACTATCCACATGTGAGGTAACGATGAAACCGCAATCCTGTTCTCGTCGTGACTGTGGACGCAAGGTTGTCAGGATAGTTGCTGTGTCAGACTTTATTCATGACGGAGACCCCAGGACACGTATCATTACTGAGCCTGCACGGAGCCAGTCGCCGCTTTGGAAGTTACATGACCCGGCCGATGCTTTTGTAAGTAACCTTCTTAGTACTTTGCTTCGAAGGGAAAGGATTACTGTGTTTAAAAACAGGCTTAGCAATCTCTGTTGGACGTCCTCTCTTAGCTCCAAAAAACGATCAAAAATTTGAAAGCATGAGTTCTAGTGTACCTAATTTTGGTCTAGCCCACAATGAGATCACAAGGCCTAAAAAATCCTTTTCCGCCTTTCTGGTGAAGCTCCAGGATGAATAATCAGAGATAACAACGATTTGAGTAGATCCTCCTATGAGGTTAAGCTGCACATGTCTTGTACTTGTCAGTGATGAATTGGCTTCTGTCCACCTCACATTTGACCGGCGCTCAAAGCTTCTTAACAAATGCGGTAAAAAATATTCCCTAGTTAGTTCCTATTTTGTCATTGATACATAAATCTTTGTCGGCTTCAATTCCGCAGGTGCTCTCTAAAGATATCAACACTCCACGGTGTCATCTCTTCACTGAGTCTTACATCAGAACTCTGATCGGCAGGTCAGTTTTGTTTAATTCTGTGGTTGCTATTGAATTTTACAGTACAAGAGCCTCTTGTAAACTATTGCAAAGAAGTTTTGCGCTTTTAAACCTTGCATATAATAGCTGATCATTTTTTTCCGCTCTCTTCTTTCAGATATTACAGGATTCCCTCAGGAGTATCAACTTTTCTGTTGTACAAAAGTACAACAAGGCCTTTCGAGGTTTGTAGGCCAATTACAGGAATGAATAAAACAAACATCTTTTAATAATTCGGCTACTTCGTAATACCTGTGTGGAATGCTACAAGATGTTACAAGCTCTAGCTGAAAGCGTAGCGTTGAAAATAGTATCGTTCCCTTCAGGTGAGGAGATCTTGGGACTTTCGTGGAAAGATAAGTCACAAAGAAGGCAAAGTAAAGCGTTAAACTAAACAATAGTGTCATCCAAATTTATGTCTCGAGATCCGTACCTGTTTTGTGGCCTTCATACATTTGGTTGAATATTTGTTACTCTGAAAATTTGTTGTTCCATCTAGGTAATCATTTTCTTTAATCTCGGCCACCTGTACGCTGGAGACAAACATTATTGGTCTCTTGTTTGAAAACGTTGTCAACGTATTTTGATCTCTACTTGTTGCAGGTTCACGCTCGTTTTTGGGCATGTAGTAAGTCAAGAAACCCAGGATATTGCGCATGTGGAGTAGCTGCAAGAGATGGAGATGATGTCATTGTAATTGACATGTGTAGAGGAAGGTTCATGGAAACTAGCGTCCAGATCTCTATCAAGTCTAAACTTCCTTTGGCAAAGGGAATTCGAATAACAGAAGCTATAAGTGGAAAACGATATACGGTAGGGCTGCTGACAAAGGAATTCAAGGAAAGACGTTTTTAGTGTAGCAATTCTTTGCATGACGAACCTCGGCAAAAACCTTTGTGTGGTAGTCTTTTCTGTAAGGAACCTTCCCTATATCAGCTGGTCAGTGGATAATATTATGTAACAAATCTTTAACAAGCTTTTATTTTACGAACTTTGTGGTTCTTTTAACACTCTAGGTGTATTTTCCGTCAGGAGTTTATGTTCGTACAGATGTCTTTGAATGGGGACTGAATGTACAAGTTCAATCGTCTGGAAGAGACCTAAATCACGTGAAGGGCTTGTGTGGCCTCGGAGAAATCAACGACTCTTTTGAGGCAATAAATGAAGGCTTGCCGCCTGAGATGAACGGAACGCAACAATGGAGGTAAGAGCGTTTTTTTTCTTTTCTTTTCACTTGAATACTATTTTCAGTACCAGTACGTGCTTATTGTGGTAATTAATTCCCCTCAAACAAAAGTTACCTTGGCAATCTTCTGAAATTTGTTCTTGTTAATTGTTACAGTGTAATGTTTCAAACTGATATAGAATAAAAGTATTAGGTCGCCATGCCGGCGAAAGAGAGTTGATCGACTAAAAGGTACCTCATAGCTTACACTCTCAGTACGAAAGATTTGCACTGGCCTTAAATATACTAACTTCTTGTTTTCGGTAATTATTGATAAACTGATCTGGAAAATGCTCTACAGCCATGCAATAGAAAGAGGACAACTTCTATGCTTTTGAAACACATGTGGAAAAAGATATGTCATCATTATCGTTAACATGAAAATCCCCTGTGTTATAAAATGAATTACAACATTTAGAGAGGAAGCCATATCAGCCTTGGCTGGTTTTCATGCGGGCCCTCCATCCTGGTGGAATTGGAATTTGGAGATGTTGGTTTTTGTGGAGGGAGGAAAACAGGAGAAAAACCCTCAGAGCAAGGCGAGAACCAACAACAAACTCAACCCACGTATCGTTCCGAGCCGGAATCGAACCCGGTGGGAGGCTAGTGCTCTCAGCACTGCTCCTCCCTGCTCCCCTTGTGATCAGTAAGGACTTCCATCGAGATACAATGGAATACCCTTAGTTTAGTCTGTGACTTAGATCTTGCCTTGGAAGTGCGCGCTACAGCTTTCTAGGCTTTATATGATTTTAGAATTTCATCGATTGTTTCAAAGTACTTTATTTGTTAACAGGTTTCCTGACGGAGACAGTCTATTTCATTACAAACCGTTGACTGAGCGACGCCACCAGACGGAAAAACTCTTCTGTCAGTGCAGCTTAAAAGACAACATCGAGAAGAAAAAGAAATGCGCCGCCTGTGAATCAAAATGTAGGAGACACCAGCACGTGGTATGGCCAGTCATGTCACGTGAAAGAGATATTACCAGACGAGTTCAGTCACTGCAAGCCGGCCGTGTTCTTGAACGTCGACATAATTTCTCAGATGAGTTTTACCCGCTTGATGACAACTCGTCATACCAGCAAAACCTGTTTGACGATGGAAAACCCGATACCTTATTAGCCGTTTTGGCTGTTATCAGCTACTGTAAAAGGCTATTGACTGATACGCCACTCGGAAGAGCTTGCAAGCCCGTAGTTGGTCAGCGGAACATCGATGAACTACTGAGGATTTGCATCCGGGACATGAGGGTGTGTTCACTTTCATCGATTACTCTCCTCTTTTTTCTGTTTCTTTTGTTGTTGTTGTTGTTGTTGTTTTGTTGTTGTTGTTGTTTTTTTAATGCTTTGTTTTGTGTCTGTAGAGTGTTTCTTCTATGTCTCTATATCTGTTGTTGTCTGTCTCTCTTCTTCATTGGATGGTAATGACTGGACGTAAACCGGTGACTAGTGATAAGCAGAAACACGACCAAATCTGACTTACTTGGAGTTTCTTATCAGTCCAATAACACTGATTTTTTTTAGTATACAGGTATATCATCTATAGTGTGGGGAGCTGCTGCAATGTTACAAGACTCGTGTGAAGACTTGGTCTTGAAAAACACCTCAGCCTGGGAGATGACCTCCTTCATAAAAGGGCTGACTCCACCAAAAACTGTCACAAATGCTATGTGTCCACGCCTGTGCAATGACCGAGGAAGGTGTATCAATGGAACATGCAAATGTCGACGAGGTATTTTGAAGTATTCATATTATTTACGAAATCCTCACTTTCGACCCTGGGTTTTATCTTGAGCAGATTAGATTAGTAACAATCCTCTACAGGGCCAGTGCGCATGCTAAGATGAGAGAATAGAACGGTTCTTGAAATTTTGCTTTAGCTAACCCATATGTTCTTTATGCATGCGTTAGCCTTGTTCTATATTCTAGTGACGACATGACTTATTTGTCACGTATATTATTTATCAGGTTACACAACTGAAGACTGTTCAGTGCCCTCCAAAACTCCACCACAGCTAATCAGTGTCCAGAATGACGGGGAATGTGACATGAGAAAGTTTCTTTGCGAACATGTTCGGGTAGTTGGTGAAGGGTTTCACAACGCAAGAGATCTGAGATGTTCTTTGGCAGAAATTACGGTAACAACATAGCATTAGTGTAACTCTTGTTCACGTCGACTTTTGTAGAACGAGTCTAGATCTTGATGTGTGATGCTGCAAGGGGTTAAGACGTGCAGCTGTCCCTTTTAAGCTCCAAAATAAGCCTTCCAATCTTCATTATGTTAGTCACTGGAGTGAATACTGAGTTAATCAAATTTCCCCGTATTGTACATTAACAATAACATTCAGAACCATCGAGAACACTCACAGATAACCACGTGCAAACTAACATGGCGCCTTTAAAATCACCAAACCTTTTTATTCTCCTTTTTTGTCCTGACATTTAGGAAGCCCCATTTGAAACTCAGACCTTCTTATCTAAGGCTACCTACGAAAGTTTCCGTGGCGTAACGTGCGAGGTACCGAGGTCGCATGACATAGACGAGGCAATACGTGGTTACCAAGTACGAGTGAGTAATGATGGAAATTTATGGAGCCAGCCTCGTCCTCTTTTCATTTTTGATGGGAATTGTCTGACGTGCACCACTCAGGGCATGCGTTGTGAGATTAAGGTTGGTAAGTACAAATAACACTCTGGTCTCACTTACTGTAAGTTCCCAAAGGACAGTTACAGTGACACTTCAGCAGATTCTCCATTAAAAATTCGCTTCCTATTCTCTTTTGCCATGACCAGTTTACAAAACTCCCTTTAAAGATCTTCTGGTGCGATCTTCGGGTTCAAAGTAATGTTCAAAGAGACCGTTGCTGCTGAATGAAGATTTAATATCTGACAATAATGTTTAGTTCTCCGTTTTCTTGAATTAAAAGGATTAATTCACTTATGGTTAAGTAAAGAAAGAACTTAGTTTGATCTTATATCTTTTTTACACAGCTCTCAAAAGCACTTCCATTCCCTCGGGTTTTTTTCTTCAGTCGTTCTACAATTTTCTTTGTTTTATAATGACCGCAAAACCCATTATTTCAATCCCTACCTCAAATGAAAAGTGGGGGGCAGGGTCAGGATCCTGGGACGAATATGGCCACTCGCTGATCAATTATAGTTTGATTCTCTGTTTAGAATGGGACTTGTCGTATTCATGGCCGTTGCCGCAGACGTGGTGAAACAAATCCTCAGGATCCCTGTCAGTGGTGTTCACCAAAAGACAGTCAACGGAACTGGACAGACATACGCTGCCAATCCGGGACCTGTGAAACTTCCACTTGTGTGCATGGAGTTTGTATAGATACAACCATGGGAAGGTACTTCTGTTTCTGTGATGAAGGATTTAGAGGACTAAACTGCGATGTTCCTGAAAACTCTTGCGCTTCGAACCCTTGTGGAAGTGGGACTTGCGTTCAACTTGGAAGTACGTTTCGTTGTGAATGTCCTTTGGGATACGCAGGTTTACAATGCTTGGACCTGATCAACCCTTGCTCTTCAAATCCATGTAACAATGGAAGCTGCGTTACTAATGGAACGCACTTTGGTTGCTTCTGCGATGAAGGCTTCACTGGTCGATCCTGCGAGACTAAAGTTCAGAGTTGCTTGTGTCGACATGGGAGATGCGTGCCTCAGGCTGAGAATTATGTTTGCATCTGTGAAGTTGGGTACACAGGGAAATTCTGTGAAGCACGAAGCGATGACGCCTGTTCCTCATTGCTATGTAGCAACGGTTTCTGTGTGGAGAGAGATGGTCATACAAAATGTCTATGTGATTCGGGATACACTGGCAGTCTATGTGATATAAAAGTAGATTCTTGCGTTTACCCACCTTGCTCAATTGGAAATTGTTCTTCAAGTCCATGTGGGCATCGGTCGTGTTTCGGTGATAACTATAATTTCACTTGTGCCTGCGAGTTCGGGTTTACTGGGTCAAACTGTCATACCACCATCAACATGACTCAAGAATCAAAGATAGGAGAAATTGTGAGCAATTTCACAGTTAATGTTCACCAAAACTCTTCTTTCAACTTCACTTTTTATCATGTTAAAATATCAATCGACGGCTCTGAAAAGATTGCCAGCGACAAACTTTTATCCGCATTTGATGGTAAAGATTTGGTTTGCCACGGAAATCTTGCTATCATTGAAAAATTTGTTTCATATCAAGATCGGATTTTCAGAATCGATGAGAACATGCTACTTTGTTTGTTGCGTTCTCTTAACAAAACGTGTGACTGTGATGAGTCTGTCGCGGAAGAAAACTGCTCATGTTCACTGTCATTTTGTAATTGCTATTCTCAAATTGAACAAACTAAAAACAAATCATGGACGTCTTCAAAAAGCAATCCGTGCGAAGATGGTTACATATCGTGTAAGTGCTTTGACAGGCACTCGGGATTACCTTGCGATGGACTTGTTACCACCAAAACATTGAGTAAAGGATTTGTTGTGGACTGCTCCAGTGAACTAGATTGCAACGAAACAACTGACCCTTGTTACCCAAACCCATGCGTGCATGGTACATGCACTTATTCGGAAGAAGGAATACTGTGTTTATGTGAAAATGGATACTCAGGAAAAACGTGTAATAAAACTTCAAGGGACTTCTGCCAGCCCAGTCCATGCGTACGGGGTAAATGTCAGAACACAGAAAATGGATTCCAGTGCGTTTGTCCAAAAGAATTTTATGGATTAACCTGCAATCAAGTGAAAACGCGATGCAGCATAAACATTTGTAGCCATGGAGATTGCTTCATAGAAGACACCGGAGAGCTTTTGTGTGAGTGCTTCCGTGGTTATGAGGGACCACTATGTGAATCCCTCGCAGTAGACAGATGCCAAATTGGTAGTTGTAACAATGGGTTGTGTATTAACTCAAGAACAGGATTTAGATGCATTTGTTTATCTGGATTTTTAGGAAAACGATGCCAAGTCAGGGACTTCTGCTTTCCAAATCCATGTGCAAACGGAAATTGTACCAGCAAATCAGATGGTTATCAGTGCGTTTGTCACGCAGGCTTCACTGGAAAGACGTGCAGGGAGAACGTAGATCACTGCCAGAGTAGACCATGCGTCCGTGGACATTGCGTCAATAGTCAAGACACTTACTTATGCCAGTGTCCACGAGGCTTCGTTGGTGACACCTGCAATGAAACCGTAAACTTCTGTTCATCAAATCCTTGTCTTCATGGCGATTGCATTAACTTAAAAAGTTCTTTCAAATGCGAATGTGAAGATGGCTTCCAAGGTATCTTATGTGATAAAAGGGTCGTCGTCGACCCATGTGACAAAAATCCCTGCAACAATGGCAGATGTATCAGTGTCCAAGCAGTGGCAAGAATTAGCCCTTTGTTTTATTGTTTGTGTGATGACGGATTTACGGGTCAGTTTTGTCAATCTCAAATGGACCCATGCCGAAACTACTCCTGCAAATATGGGTTGTGTGTAGCAATTGATTCCAACAGATTTCAATGCAAATGTTTTAAGGGCTTTCAAGGGAGTAAATGCGAAACTGAGGTAAATCATTGTATTTCAAGTCCATGCAAGAATGGTGCGTGTATTCCAAAAAATTCATCGTTTGAGTGTTCGTGCCACCCTGGATACAAAGGAAACTTGTGTGATGAAGTGAAAGACAGGTGTGAACCAAATCCATGTAAACATGGACGTTGCCATCAAGGATCAACATCGATCCAATGTTCATGTTCTGCAGGATATACCGGAAACCTTTGTGACTCAAAAGTAGATTACTGTGGTTCGAATCCTTGCGAACACGGAGTTTGCGTGGCTAGCAGGATTCAGTCGTTCAAGTGTTACTGTAAGCGAGGCTATTCTGGAGAACTCTGCGATCAGAAAGTGAATCCTTGCACACCGAACCCGTGCAAGCACGGCTCATGTATACACCGATATTCTTCTTGGTTTGCCTGTCGATGTGAATTGGGATACACAGGTAAAATGTGCGATAAGAAAATTAACATGTGCCAGTCACAACCTTGCAAAAATGGTGTGTGTGTTAACTTTGGAATGTATTTTCGGTGTCGCTGTACAACGGGTTTTCATGGACGTCTCTGTGATGAAATTGAGACCTGCCAATCACGACCTTGTAAACGTGGGACATGTATTGCCACTACCAATTCGTTTACATGCAGATGCCCGGAAGCGTACACGGGTCGTTACTGTGAGAATAAGATTGATCCGTGTCAACCAAACACCTGTAAACATGGCAGATGTACACCGGTTGACAATTTTTTCAGGTGTCTCTGTGATAAAGGATATACTGGGGAACATTGCCAGGTGAGTTTGAATCCTTGCTCCTCTCACGAGTGCGAAAATGGAAAGTGTATCGCGCAAGGTGGTCAGTATTCGTGTCAATGTTTTAAGGGATTCAGTGGAAACTACTGCGATGTAGACATCGACGAATGCCTAAACTCACCATGTTTTGCTGGCGTCCATTGCAGCAATTCCGTAGGAAGCTATTCTTGTGGTCCGTGCCCAGTTGGTTTCACAGGTGATGGTTTGCGTTGTGAAAAGTTAATGGATCCCTGTGAAATGTTGAATTGTTTGAATGGGACGTGTATCGCACAAGGTGGTGTGTATTTCTGTCAGTGCCATCAGGGATTCAGTGGAAAACGCTGTGATATAGACATCAACGAGTGCCTGGATTCACCGTGTTTTGTTGGTGTCAACTGCGCAAATTACCCAGGAAGCTACTCTTGCGGTCCTTGTCCGGTTGGTTTCACAGGCGACGGTTCCCATTGTGAGAAGATAGTACATCCCTGTGAAAAACTGAACTGTTTTAAGGACGTGCCATGTGTCTACAAGGGACAGAAATATGAATGCGGAAACTGCCCGCCTGGATTTACTGGAAATGGTGCTCAGTGTACAGGTAAATTAGTATTTTCTTTACAGATCAGAGTAAATAGCCAGAGGCAAATAGCCTGTAGAGTTACTAACATAGCTGACAGTCCAGAGTTGGAAGGTTTCCAAACGGCAGGGTACTTCTTCTTTGGACATCATAACTTTTTACAAGTGGCAATGAGGTATCGTAAAAATATTTTAAAAAACAGTCACCGCAGCATTTCATTCTTGGTTTCCCACTCTAGAGATAGATGCTTGCTCGTCCAATCCTTGCCATCCTTTGGTTCAGTGCTTCACGTTACATGGCTCTCCCTCAGGTTTCCGTTGCGGTCCCTGTCCAGCAGGGCACAAGGGAAACGGAATCAACTGTACCTCATTGTGTCCTCTTCCTTGTCCCTATGGAATGGAATGCATAGGCTATTATACTTGCAGGTGAGAATGCTCGTGGCCTTTCAACCTAATTTTTCGTATTACTATTTCCCCGAAATGTCAATCAGGTAGAAAAAAAAATTCAAGCTGATTCCTCTACATTACCTCCTCGAGCTTGTCAGATTAGCTGTTTTCTTGCATTCTTTAAGGTGTCCTGAAGGTTTCCAAGGCGTTGGCTGTAAAACACCATTTTGCCGAGCTGGTTGTTACAATGGTGGTACATGCGTGAAACCAAACGTTTGTAAATGTCTGGAAGGATTTGAAGGACCTGCATGCCTGTCACCCGTATGCCGGCCGCCTTGCAAGTATGGCGGAAAATGTGTCGGGCCTGATAAGTGTCGCTGTCCGCGCGGATTTATTGGATCTCGATGCGAAAAGAAACGCTGTCTTGTCTCGTGTTTGAACGATGGAAGGTGCATTGGGCCGTACGTCTGTCACTGTATGCCGGGATATTCAGGTCAAAGATGTGAAATTGGTAAGCCCGGAGTAAGATAATAGATTGAAGTTGGGCTCTGGGTTTTCGTCAAAAGGGAGTCCAGGAATCCTGTAAAACAGTGCTTTTCATGGAACATTGCTGAACTAGAAGCACACTCTCTGGATTTCACTTTTGATTTTCTGGTTCAAAGCCTGGATCTACTGGGATTTTCTTCCCATTGAGAAAAAAAAACAGAGAGAAAACAGTTATTTGGTGATAGGAAGATTTTCGATTGTCCATAGCTTTGTTTGACTTGTATTTGCTTAGCTTCCTACTCGTTTCAAAACTCGTGCGCTGTCCAATCAGATCTCGCTCGTTCTTTGACCTGTCAGATCGAACTCATCATGACTTGGGTCACCGCGTTTTCCCGCGCTGAGAAAAGGTCGCATGTTTCTTTCTGGCTGGTTAGATATGAATGCTTAGGGGTGTGTTTTTTATGAGGAAACCACGGATTTCAAAACTTGAAATGCACTCTTCTTGATACAAAGTAAAGAAAGTTGTATTTGTTACAGCGCCTTGTACTCCGAGATGCCAAAATGGCGGTTTGTGCATCGCACGTGATGTCTGCAAATGTTTACCTGAGTACATGGGTGAACGATGCCAGTTTCCACTGTGCAGACCACCGTGTATAAATGACGGACACTGCGTTCGACCCAACGTGTGCATGTGCCGTGCTGCATGGAAAGGAGATCATTGTCAAAAGCCTGTTTGCCACCTGCCTTGCTTGAATGGAGGAAGGTATTAAGCTCTGTCACATTGCAGTCGTCTTGATGACTTTAATGCGTTTTTGATAATGAGCCCCTTATTCTAAAACCGTGTCCCTATTCTGTTTCTATATAATACCACCATTAAAGTACCTTGAGTTCAATGCGGTTACTCTTTCTTCCGAACTGCTCATTATAACAAATCAATTGTCTCGACTGTGGTCTTCATGTGAAGGCCCAATTCCTTCACTGATACACACTCAGATCAAAAACAAGGAATAAACGTCCCCTCCCCAGCCAGGAAGAGCTCTCTCTCCAATAAGCTCTCACTTGTAAGATCACAAAATACAACGGTGAGCTGGACGATAACTAGAATCATTATGGTCTAAACTTATTTCCCCGTCGCGAGAAACACTTCTTCTGCTATGTCCAAAACAAACTTGTTGTTGTTTTTAATTTTCATTAGGTGTGCTCGTCCAAACCAATGTACTTGTCTTTCAGGATATGAAGGCACTATGTGTGAAAAAGGTACAGCTTAAGTCATCCATGCCACCTTATGAAAAACGTGTTTGCTCCTAGGCCGTAATATACATGGAATATGTTATTTGTTTCTTCTATGTTTACTTTTTTGTGTTTATTGAGATAAATGCTGGAAAAACGTAGCTAATTACAAACAATATATGAAAAAGGTTACATAATACCTGAGGGAAATGACACACACTGTAATAGACACGTTTCGGATACTCCGTACCCATCATCAGTTTCAGGATGTGTGACACAGATGGATCCGAGTACCGGAAACATGTCTATTACAGTGTGTGGCATTTCCCTCAGGTATCATGTAACCCTTTTCATTTATTGTAATTAATACTTTTAAGAACCTTCGAGATTTCAGAGAAAGATCATCTTTCTTCCAATATCAATATGTTAGGGAAACAAAGACGTAGCAAAAACGAGAAAGCTCGCCAAGTCAACCTCAATTTCTCGTTACTAAATGTTTCAGTGACATTCAAGGAGGAAATTTCGTAACGGTTGTTATATTATTGGCTATTTCCTTGACAGCTATTTGCAACCAGCCATGTTTAAATGGAGGGCAATGCGTTCGTCCCGGAGTCTGTGCATGCCCATTTGGATTCACCGGAAGGCAATGCGAGGAGAGAGGTTCGTAGAAAATCACCTCTAATTCTCTATGATGCACACACACAAAAAAATAACTTGGACATGGAGCAAATCAAAACCATACCAGAAAAACGTCTTGGAAACTCAGTTGTGCAAAACACGCTTGCAAAAATGCTGCAATGCTCAAGAGTGAGAACTTGATTGAAACCCAGTGCTGCAAAGTGAACTCGACTACTATAAGAAAATGAGTTCATAGTTTTTCTAGAATAGATATAATAATATATTTTGATTTTTCTGTTGCTTTACAGACCCGTGGTACGTGAACAGAAAACAGGAAAATTAAAGCGGCAGGTCTAAAACAGTTGCCTAGCAACAGCCTCTGTCTTATGATGCTTCTGTTATCCATGTTACTAATGTAATAAGACTGGTCTAAAAATTTTTCTAGAACTTTGTCTGTAAACAGAAGAAGAAATATCACTTACTTATAACCAAGGATGTACTTTGTTTTTTAAAGTATTTATATTCGGCTTTAATCGAAAAACCTGCAACCTGATATTCATATTAAACTTTCGTGTTCGCTAAATTTCCATAGTTATTGCATATATATTTACAGCAACCAGAATTCAGTATATACTTGTTTCTGCAACATCTGATTGGATAATTAGAGTGAGACATTTGTATTTTAATGATTTTCAAGTTTTCACTTGTACGGCAGCAACTTTTCCTCGTTGTACAAGCAACGCTCGAAGCGAACATTTTACGATATGTGCGTTTATCCAGTCCCGAACGCGAAATATTAATGTCTTATTGAACTATTTTATCGGTTTCATAACAAGATTATTTACTCCTCCACTCTGAATTGCAAACTGAACAACTTTAAGAAACAAAAAATAACACGAAATAGTCATGTAAACATTAACAAGGCCAAAACGTTGTGGTTTAATTGTCTTAATTCTTTGTTTAAGCTGGCTCTTACAGTTTAGTCTCCTGGTAATTTTAGTGTTAGATATCAATACAGTCCAGTTATTTCGCCCTTACTTTCAGCTTTTATGATGTAATGGTATCAACTTGCAAAAGGTTCTTCAAAGGAGCTCAGTCACGGTATTTTGGGTTATTTTGACCTGGGACAAAATTACATTTATTTTGAAGGAAACCTGAAAATAGCAGTTTACTAATATAAAAAGCACCAAAAGGTTATATAATAATAAACCATAAAGGAACAAGGATGGTTATAGATGGAGAAGATTAACACGGATTACAAACAAAGAACTTGAAAAATTTAGGCTAAACTTTTCAAGATGCGCAAACCGTGACGTAGCTCCTTTAAGTACCTTTTCATTTTAACTGAATGATTATTGCAGTCCTGAGTTACCTTCTGCATTTCTCCCCTTCCCCCCAACACCGCACCCTTCTCCACCCCGACTCTTGTTGCTTGAGACACTTTATGAAACACACTCCCTGTTCAAGACCAAAGTTGCCTCGAAACGCGCACCTTAGAGTGACACAGCCCCATTAAGCCCAAATATTTGAAACATAAACATTCCATTGGTGAGACAAAAGAGAACTCGAGAAAAGCTGATTGTTGGGAGTATATCTTTTATAAGCTGCTTCGATTTCGAAGTCAACACGATAACGGTAAATCACGTTATGAAATCATTTATTTATGAAACTGGGACGTCCTCCAAAACTTATTTTAAGAAAATGTTTACTTTTTCACCTTTCTATGTGCCGAGGAAAGGCCACGTCGTTAATAAATAAAGTCATGGTCTGTTACAGGGCACTGGAAAGGGTCCATGAAGTTCAGGTATCAGACACTATAACCCGACCGTGGGTCAATAGAATATTCAAGGACGTTTTGGAGAGTTACATCAAGTCACGCGATTTGTGATACTCGAGGCATAAGGCGTGGGAAAAACATATTTTTGTTACACGATTACCAGTGACAGGCATCTAGGAATCTTGTTCCGTAATATGCTGTTTAACTGCACTTTGTCGGTAGTCAATGGACTGTATCGTGGTATAGGGAAAGTATCGTGTCTTGACCAGAACACAACACAAAGATTCTGCAAGGCTGACCCTGTAAATCTCAAACTCTGCCATTCACCGTCATCTTTTCGCTCGTCCCTTTGTTCTATCGCTCGAACAAGCTTCCGAGTCCATGATTAATTGTAGTGTTGTAAACAACCAAAATCCCTTCCGGATTTCTGCTATAATCTGATGATAATGCCTTTATTGCCCTTTGCGGCAGGTTCGAAATCAGGGTTCTCCAAGGTATCACACTACTGCTCTGAAAAAATAATCCGCAGAAAAATCCTTTTTTGCCGACAACTGTCATCGCAATATGGCAGTAAATAAAAGGCTTAACTCCTAAAATAACTCTACTTGACATCAATTGCTTTCAAAGAAAATAACTTTGGCAAATTTTCTCTCGACTCTGAAATATTTTCACGTACTTTTTTTGTTGGGTAGCGAGTTTACAGACTTGCTTCTATTGTATCTCAAGCGACTTTTGTCTTTAGTTAAGTACAAAAATGTGCAGGATAAGTAGATGTAATCCATACCAAAAAAAAAAAGATCGATCCAGAAGTATTTGCACAGATTGTACTCTTAATTTGATTTCTATGGCCTGACGAAATCAACTGGTTGATCTTTGTAATCAGCTCAGTATTTCAACTGCTCCGATATTTAGTTCTAATTTCTATTGTTTCTTTCATTTGATTTATTCAGTGGCGGATCTAGAGCCCGCCCCCCCACCACCCCCCTTATTTTTGGTGAAAAAAAAAAAAAA